AAGGATGTGAACCTATGACATACAACTGTCTACTGGGGCTTTGGGGGGAAAAAAATGAATAAATAAAATCTAAAAAAAAAAAAAAAAATAAAGTGTACAATCAGTGGGGGTTTTTTTTTAGTATATTCAGAGTTATGCAACCATTACCACTACCTAATTTTAGAACACTTAGTTCTTTTTCAAACTTTCATTTTCAGCTCTCTGCTGAAAATTTCAAGTCACATCCTTTATCTCCTTGAACTTAGTAAGCACAGTGGTTATTAAGTCACAGTTAGATTATTCCAGTATCTGGTGCCCCTGTTGTTCTGCTTCTGATGTCCATTGTTTTTGCTGGTTTTAGTTCTAACATTTTCCTTATGTGCCTAGTTATTTTTTAATTATGTGCTAAGCATTTTATTTGCAAAATTGCAGATATAATTGAAGCCTAAGAGGGGGTTCTCCAGAGAGGACTCGTTCACCATTGCTTCTACCAGGTGCTCGTGAGCACTGGCCATCTTGGCTCGCCCCAGGCCAGTTTCGGAGGTTTTGATTATTTGAAAGAGAAATACAGTCCCTGGGAGGACTGCAGACATCAGGTTTACTCTTATTCATAGGTGTAGCCCTTTGAGGTCCCTACGAAGGGAATGGTTTCACTTGGGTCCCCTCCACCCCGCTCTTATCAGACCCTGGCCTCTAATCCTCGTGCTCTTAGCCCTGGGAGGTTTTCAGAAGCTCAGCTCCATATTCGTTACTGGCTCTGGGATCAGCAGATGTGCCCAGGGTAACATACCAGCAGCCTCTCTCTGGCTCGCCATCCTTGCTTGAATCCTGGCCTGGTAATTCTTCTCTGCCTGTAGTTCTCATATGCCTTCACGTAGATGTGTTTAGTATCTTTATCCAGCTTTTCTGATTGTCCTCAGCGTTAGGACTGATCTGAATTACCAAGTCTGCCATCACTGGAAGTGGAAGTTCTCTGTTTTGTTTTCAACTAGCGACACACTTGTTAATCAGACCCAGTAAATGCCTCTGGTACCATAGTGGGTTAATGTACATCCAGTCTACAGCCCCTAGACCCCACGGCTCCCTTTGCAGGCCCTTTATGGCACGAGGAGCCCAGACTGGGTATCTCTGGTGTTCCAACATGCTGGGTTCTGGGTGCTTAGGGTTCAGCTAGTCTTCCTCCTTGCCCTCATGGAGCCTGTAGCCTGCCCTTTCCTTCCCAAAGCCTCCAACCTTTGTGGGCCAGTATTCACATTCAACATCGCCTCCTTCCTTCTCAGCTGGTCTCTTGAGTTGCTATGGTCATGATTTCAATGTCCTTCCCAAGTAAACTCTCTCCTAGCCTTCTAACTGCCCTCAGGGCTGCAAAGAGCAGTCTGAGCCCAGCTTGCGAGCCTGGCCCTGTCCTTCTCTCCAGCCTCATGGCCCATAAACCATTCACCCTCAACTACACCCCAGGCCCTGCATGCATGTTTTGGCACATACTAGTTTGTCTTCTTAGATTCAGCATCACCTCCTCTAGGAAGGCTTCCCTGATTCTCCCAGGCTACGTCAGCCTGAACTGACACCCTGTTTCTCCATGTCTGTGTCCCCAGCAGGACAAGCATTTTGAAGAGTGTCAGTGTCTTATTTATTTCAGCATCTCTAGCACTTGGTACTTAAGAAGTGTCAGTTAATGTGGGATGATCTCATTTCCCAAGTTCCACGCATCCCCTATGCATTGTCTTCTTTGCCAGCCTCATGAATTCTTTTTCCCAGAAACCCTAGTCATTTTTCTGGCCCTTAATGGGAGGCATGTCAGCGGCTTATCTGCCTGCATCCCCCAGACACGCCAAGTTCACAGACCTGCGGGACACTGTGACAGTGGACCGCCACCTGCTGGTCAGAAGGTTTCTAGGACAGTGACAGCTCAGGGCTGCAGAGTAGGGGTGCTTAATCCTAAGGTATTCTACGAAGAACAAGAACCCCTTCTCAGAATATTATTTTCAAATGCACACTATAAAGCACATAGATTACAAGTAAAACCAATCATAATGAAATACAGGTTTCAAAATACTAGGAAAACTAAATATATATGCATGTGATATATGTAATATGATACATGTATTACATTTATATCTCATTAAGTAACAAGAACTAGTGATAGGTCTAAAAACTACTATAATTTCAAACCAATGAACAAAAATGACATTTTGAGACGTCTGCAACAGCTGTAATGTGAGCTGAAATCTCTGATGGCTGACACAGTCACAGGTACGGCTAATACTACTAGAATTTGTTGCCTGCATCCGTAAGGAAAGGAAATGCTGAATCTCAGAGGTTAGTGAAACAAAGACACCCCGAATTCTACCCACGATCCCTTGTTGTGGGCGGGGGGCCCACAGGCCCCAGGGGAAGAACCCCTAAGTGGAGTTTTAGAAGCATGGCAGACACACACTTTTAACTACAGCAGACCTGGCTAGTGGCTAAGTGTCTGTGTGACTTGTGCTGAGTGTGAAGGGCAGTGGGGTGGGGGAGGTGTGGTGGAGAGCACTGCCAGAAGGTCTCAGTTTGAGCCCGTCGGCGTCACGTACCCGTGCTGTGAGGTCTGGCCTGACCCTCCCCCTGCCCAGTGTCCATTTCTTCTTCTATAAAATGGGAATGACAATGTCTTCTTCACAGGTTGTTGACAGGATTCAATAAGTCAACATGTGAAAACTCTTGGGGGTCAAATGTTTGTGATTGAGAATGATATTCCATGTCTGTAGGGAACACATACACACACACCCAAGCTTAACCTCCTTCAGAACAGAAACCCCAGTCTGACCCGCTGGACAATCTGGGAGGCACCAGTGTACTCAGAAGATAGTAAACCCTTTTTCGTGTGTGTGAGGAAGATCAGCCCTGAGCTAACGTCCATGCTAATCCTCCTCTTTTTTTTGCTGAGGAAGACTGGCTCTGAGCTAACATCTATCGCCCATCCTCCTCCTTTGTTATCCCCAAAGCCCCAGTAGATAGTTGTACGTCACAGTTGCACGTCCTTCTAGTTGCTGTATGTGGGACGTGGCCTCAGCATGGCCCTTGGGACAAGCGGTGCATCGGTGCGCGCCCGGGATCCAAACCCGGGCCGCCAGTAGCGGAGCGTGTGCACTCAACCACTAAGCCATGGGGCCGGCCCAGTAAACCCTTTCTTGACCCACAAATGTGGATAAGTCTGCCCTGCTTCCAACACCCCAATCTAAGAGAACAACCCCAAATGCAAACAGAGTTTCTCACCTTGTTGTTTTATTAAAAGCATATTTACATTCTTGCAGTTAACTTTGCAGAGAACATTTTACAAACGTTTCGTATAAAGTTTGGAAACTACATAAAAATAACTTCTATCCTTCATAAAGGGAAAATATAAGTTAGTTATATTTACTCTGCCAAAAATCGACTGAAAAGGAGAAACAGTTCCGTCTGTCCCTTACAGAGAAAACACTAGCCCAGGACACGAGGAATACCGCATGGGCCTGCTCAGCGATGGGCATTGCACGTTGGCTCAACCATGACGCTGGGAGACCCGACCACCTCCACCCAGAAAGGACGGGGGAGCTAGTGGGGCTCAGGCAGCAGTGAGCAGGGATGGAGCACCTCCTTGAGCGAGATTCCAATGTGAATGACAAGCCCAATAAGGGAACGATTCAAGACTTGCACCTGAACCACGGGACTGGCATTTCAGCGAATACTCCTTCTCACACCCCGGCTGCAGATGGCAACACTGCCAACAAAGCCCAAATGAGCCCTGCCTGACAATGTGCCGCTGCTGGCCTCGCCGGGCGGAGCTGGCTCTGTGTTCCGTAGCTACACTGCTGCTAGCCCACGTTCTCCCAGCACGTGCCCCAAAGAGAATCAAAGGGACAGTTGTTTCACTTGTCTCCTTTGTGTGAGACCTGAAAACTGTCCCATTGGGTCAAACACTGAAGCAGGCAAGCTGAATGCTCACTAACCTAAGAGGACCACTGCCTTCCCATGGCCCTCAGAGCATCTTTACCGCATATGTGAGACTTGGGAACCCCAAGGCCCTTCTCCGGTCAAATGGCCTCCCTCCCTTCCAAGATCCAGTTACGACAAGTGCAAAGAAAACTTCCAGGGAATTGCTTCAGAAAGACAAAGCATTGGACCTTAACCTGTAGGAATGAAGGAGAATGTCCTCCGGGGTGTGTCAGCCACTCTATCACCAGCAAAATGGCACCCAGACTCCATATGCCCATGTGATTCCTTGAAATCATCTTCCCTTGGCTGTTATATTTTTTTAAAGTAGGTATCTTCCTGAAGAAGCCATTCATTTATATTTGTTTCAAGTTAGAAATCAAAGTGAAAAGAAGTTTTCTTTGTAAATAAACCAAAGGCCGGTCTGAGCATTTGCTTTATGGGTTATCTACACCCTGCAGCCTGTGGGGCTCGGAATCTGTGGGAGGCCAATGAGTAACCCAAAGGCCCAGGATTCCATGAGACAGAGAAGCTTTGCTTCTGCCATGTTCCTGGGGGAAGAAAGCATTACGTTTCCCCCTGATGCTTTTTCTTCCTGAACAGAAGTCCAGTGACTGCCAGCCTCTGTCTGAAGTGTAAGGACAGACCCCTGAACTAGGAGGGGCAGAGGGCAACAGCCTTCCCATGTCACCTGCAGACAGGATGGGCAAGGGTGAGACGGGAGCAGACTGGGTAGTGAAGGTCTTGTGTGATGAGGAATTTATCCCTGAACACAGGATCCCATGTGGGGGCCAAAAGGAACTGTGGACTGGCACTTCAGCCTGTGCCACCCTGTGCCTCTGGTGCCAACATCCAGCACACCCCATACCAGTGGCTCCACCTACTATGCTCAGGGGCACAGGCTCAGGCAGTGACCGTGCTCCAACCCACCTGGCACAAGAGGCCCACGGTAGAGGCAAGCTTGGGTAGCGCTAGGGGCCAGGCTGTGCGTGTGCGTGTGTGCAGAAAAGGGGGACACTGGGGGTCGGGCCATGTGTGCGTGTGTGGGTGCAGAAAAAGGGGACACCAGGGGCCAAGCCGTGCGTGTGTGTGTGTGTGTGCAGAAACGGGGGACAGGAGATGGCACGAAAGCCCCGAGACCAGCAGGATGAAGTGTTCAGACTCTCCCTCATCCCACCGTCATAGACCCAGCCTTGTCTCAAGAGGAAGGCAAACTGAGGTACTGGGGGAATGAGAGCACCCCTGAGCAGCTAGCTGCAGCCAGGCTCCACTGAGAACAAAATGGCTGTTCGGAGCCGTGATTCTTGTCTGGCACTGCAGGGAAGGGCTTAAAAGCCACCAGAATTACAATATGGACCAGCCCCTGGTGATTTCAGTGGCAGTGCTTTGTGCCCACAGACAGCAAAACTGGCGTACTGGCAAACAGGAGGGGCCTTGAGGCCACAGAACGCCCATTCCTCCTGGACACTGACCCCACCAACAGCCCAAATCTCTGACAGCTTGAAGGGATCCGGGGCTCAAAGAGAACAAACATTAGGGTCAGGCGACATAATAAACCTCACCCGCGTGAGTGAGCGAGAAGTCAGGAACACCAGAGTGGGTCTGTGGGGCGCAGCTGGGGCGGCACTAGGCTGGGGGCTGGATTCGAGCTGGCACGGGAGCAAGAGGGAAGGGGGTCCTGAGTTACTTGTTCACAGAGAATGGGAGGGCCCCGGAGGCCCGCCAGCCCGCCAGCCACAGCCCCAGGTGGCTGTTAAGAGGCATCCGCAGAGCTGTAGGGGAAGAACTTGGTGGCCTTGTTTGGGGTAGCGGGGTTCAGGCACTCTGACTCCTCATTCATTTTGAAGAACATCTCCTGCTCCCGCTTTTTCTGGTTCAGATCTTCTTCCAGAGCCTAGGAGAGAGAGAGGGCAATGGAGCTCGTCAGATCCCATGGGACACAAGTCTCCCAACCACTCAAGTGGCCTTCTCTGGAAATTTCCCTCCCAGGCCTTAGTGCTCGGGTAACTTGGTCTTCCCTCTTTCCTTTCCCAGAGCCCATCACCTGGAAGGAAGTACCACCTCCTCCTGCCTCCTGCCACAGCCATACAGGAATTTCCTGTGGGCCAAGGGCTATGGTTTGGAGAAACGCCAATCTAGATGGGGTAGGGGGGAAAGTAGGCGCAAATCTGCTGGCAGGAAAACAGCCAAATGAATGGAGAAAAACCCAAGGTAGGAAATGGAGAGAGATTTAACAGCAGGGGGAGCAGAGATGTCCGGGTTACATAGTTGTTCCGAATGAGGGCACTGTCCTGCAGATATCACCCAGGGAGTTTTTTTTCAAAATACTTGTGCCTTCACGCCAGCCCCTGAGATTCTGCTTCTGAAAATCTGTGGCAGGACAGGAGTTCTGTGTTGTAAGAGCACATCGGGGGGCTCTGGGCAGCGTCTGGCTGACAGCACTACAGGAGCTTCCCTTGGACACATGCAAGTTTGTCTCGATAAATTGGATTCTACCAGAAAAATTTCCTGAGGGTTCTCCAATAATAAGCATTCATTTAAGAAAGAGCAGAGTTCTGGAGAGAACATGAGCTTCACCGTCAGACAGGATGCAGCTTTATTATTACCAGCTGCGTGGCCTCTGCCCGTTACCTTTCCTCTCGTGTTTCTCACGTGTACAATGGCAGTATCCCCACCTGCCTAGCGGGGCTGTTGGGGATGAAATCAAAACAACGGCTCAGGATTCCTGAGGACTTCCCACGGCGGGCACTGTGCTAAGTGCAGTACATCTTACAACCTGAAGTTAACCGTCACCCTATGAGGTAGATATCATTGTTATCCCCATCTTATAGATGGAGAAACTGAGGCTCAGAGAGCTCAGGTCACTTGCCCAAGGTCGCTCAGCTAGCTGGGGGCACAGCCAAGATGGGAACCTCGGTCTAACTTCAGAGTTCAGGCTCTGATCTGCAAAGCTGGGCACACACGGGTTGCTCGGTATACGTGGCTTCATTATTACGAGGTGTTTGACCACCATCCAGTATCCTTACTTTCACTACAGAAGTATCTACTTGCACAGGATTTGACCAGCCTTCTATGATGTCTCTCTTTTTAAGACTATTCTTTGGATGCCCTGAAATAGTCTCACTTAACAAATAACTTCATTATCAGATCCCCCCTTAAGCTCCTGTTCCCTCAATAGTACTAAATTCTAGAGAGTTCTCTCTACCTCTAAGGAAAGACGGGGAAAGGACATTGAATCACAATGTCAATTTTTCCAACCTGTTGTTATAGGACATCCATGTGAGGGAAGGTAAGGTATTTGAAGTCATGCCTCATCTTGGACTTGATTAATTTGAAATTTCTGTGTAATTCACACAGATTCTTAGCTCAAGTTCTCCTTTGCTGAATGTATTAATAGTAAAGTGTTTGTGGCATGCAAACATTATATATAAGCAAGATACAAGTAGTATTGTTTAAGTTCTTGCAACAGAGATTACAAAATCCAGTGCCTATGGGAGCCAGCCAGGTGAATTAAATGAGTGAAGAGAGCTGGATGTGATACATTAGGGAGTGGTGGGGGCTGTGGTGAGGTGAAGAGCACATGCTATGTCTGAAGAGGGTGGTTTCTTCTCAGCTCCAGCTGATGGCTGTCATGTGGTATGAACGGCCCAGTGTTGCCAGAGCTCCTGGGTTTTCGAAAGAAACTGGAAATCCAGATTTTTATGTAACATTTCCTTATACTTAAAGGTTGACAACTTAAAAAAAAACTTAAATTGCTATATGTTAGCCAAATCTAATGTTTGTAAGCCAATTTTAGCCCATGGTCCATCAGTTTGTGACGTCTACTATAGGAATACCAATTTAATTATAATAGCTACCACTTTTTGAGCACAGAGGTCTAATCACTTGCCCAGGGTCTCACTGCTAGTAACAGGGGAGCTGGGACTTTATCCCACTGTCTTACTGCAAAGGCTGTGCTCTTAGGCACTAGTCTATTCTACCTACCACATATACTCCTCTCTGTAACCTAAGGCAGGAGTTAGCAGTCTTTTTTTTGCAAAGGGCCAGATGGTAAATATTTTCAGCTTTGCAGGCTATAAGGTCTCTTTTGCAACTACTCAACTGCCATTGTAGTGTAAAATCAGCCATAGGCAATATGTAAATGAATGAGCATGATGTGTTCCAATAAAACTTTATTTACAAATACAGGTGGTGGGCCAGATTTGGCCCAGGGGCAATAGTTTACTAACACCTCTTTAAGGGAAGAAATGTTATCTATATTTTATAGCCCCAAAAGCAAGGTTTAGGTGGGAAGACTTGACTTGTCTGAGGCCACATTCTGTGTTAACTATAACCCAAGCAACGCTTTATTGACCCTACCAGATATTCTGTACTTACTTGAAAGAAATAAATCTGAATTTTTCTAAAAATATTCCACAATATATAATCACCTACCCTGCCCCCATATATGGGCAGCAGCTCAAGGCTGCTGACTGCAATGCAGAAGTGTAAAAGAACATTTATTCCAGAATGAAAATCATCACCTCTGGGCCAGTGTTCCAGCAGCAGCCCAGCTAACTAATGATAGAACAGTCTACAAAGAATTCTACAAAGGGGCAGCCCCCACAGGCAAAATCAATGCCAGCTCTCCAGACACACGCTCGTGGTACCTCTCCGAGGCCCAGGCGCCTCCGTGGAGCAATCTGGGATATGAGGCAGTTGCCAGAGGCAATGTGATCGTTCATTTTCCACCTCTCTCAGGATGTGCCAAGGGTATAGAACCCCCAAGTAAGAGAACAGGTGAGCATTTATTTCCTGATGCCAGAGTCAACCTGTGTCAGCAGGAGCATTATTGATTTGAGTGTCAAGTATCAAAAGTCCTGGCAGGCCATGGTTACAGAAACTGGTGAACACGGGCCTGCTAACAGGAAGGTCTGAGACCCTGGCCAGCTTCCGGCCAGACAGCTCCATTAGCACAGGAGGGAAGCCTCAATTCAAGGACTTCCAAGGCCATTACACAGTTGAGGTGGGCAGCTGCCTCATCTCCAGACCACAGTTACAGCAAGCAGAGCTGACGGATGATGGCAGAACAAACCGTGGGGCTTCAGGACACATGATCAAGGGTAATTAGGGCAGCTCTCTCCTTGGAGAGTGTAGGACGGTGGAAGGAAATGAGTACGTCCTTGGCCTGTACTATGGGCTGGTGACTTTTGCATAACACTATACAACATCCATATCTGCACTTCACAAATAACCACACTGAGGCCCTGTAATGCTTAATTTTATGTGTCAGCCTGGAAGGCCATGGTACCCAGCTGTTTGGTCAAATGGCAGCTGAGATGTCATTGTGAAGAAATTTTTTAGATGTGATTAACATTTAACTCAGTAGACTTTGAGTAAAGCAGATTACCCTCCATAATGTGGGTGGGCCTCATCCAATTAGTTGAAGGCCTTAAGAGAAAAGACTGAAGTCCCCCTAAGGAAGAAGGAATTCTGCCTCCAGACTGCCCTGGGACTCAAGACTGCAATATCAGCTCTTCCCTGGATCTCCACTTTGCAACCTGCCCTGCAGATTTCAGACTTACCAGACCCCCAATCATGTGAGCCAATTCCTTAAAATAAACCTCTGTCCATATCTATGTCCACATTCTAGGCAGACACCTGTGATACAACATGGAGCAGAGCCCACCAGACCAGACATGCTTACCTTTTTGCGTGGCCGAAGCTTGTCCCGCCATTCCTTCAGGTTCTGGTTATGGCTTTCATCCAGGGCCTTCAGCTTCTGGGTTTCATGCTCTACCAAGAGGTGACACTTTTCATTCTGGAACAAATTCCAGGCAGAACCGGTAAGAAACTCAGAAGGCTGAGGTGCAGAGGGCTGAGACATACCTCGTGCTGTAGCCATGAGGGCATCAGCATCACTTATTTATTATTTCTTCTCCTTGATTATAAACCCATTTATATAAAACTCTATACATGTAAATACATATGCACTGAGGGATGTCTGGAGGAATATTCCAGAATATTAATAGTTCTTATTGTATAGGGGATCTGTAGTAATTCTGCAACTTTCTTCTTTGTGCTTTTTGCATTGTTTGAACTTTTAACATGAACATATATGTCATTTTAAGAAAACAATAAAACTATTAACAATAAATAAATATAATGTGTACTCTAATCCTCCCACCACAATGAGGCAACCACTATAAAAATTTGGATATACTTCCTGTCAGGCTCTAACCTATATGTTGTTTAGCTCATCTGTATATACAGTTCTGAAACATGCTTCCCTTCTCACTTAACATTATAATGTAAACATTTCTACAAAGAATTAACATTTTTCACAGTCATCACTTTTAATGCCTAGAGAATATCCCACAGTATGGATTCATCAAATTTACTTAAACATTCCCCTGTTTTTGGCCATGTAGGTTGCTCTTAACTTTCACTGTTATAAATAGCACTGTGTTAAACAGCTGTGCTATGGACTGAACTGTGTCTCCCCAAAATTGGTATGTTGAAGCCCTAAATCCCCAATTTGATGGTATTTGGAGGTGAGGCCTCATGATGGGATTAGTGTCCTTATAAAAAGAGAGACCAGAGAGCTTTCTCTCTCTCTCTGCCAACCACGCTGGCAGGCTGATCCTGGACTTCCAGACTCCAGAACTGTGAGAAAATAAACTTCTGTTGTTGAAGCCACCCAGTCTGTGGTATTTTCTTATGGCGGCCCGAGCTAAGATAATCTGTATGTATAAATATTTATATTTATGTAAAGTATATATATAATTTTCTGCCTCACATATCATTTCCTCGGAGAGATTTGTGGCAAGAGATAAGGGCCGTGGACCTGGCTGAGGCTCTGCCGGCCTCACTGTTCTCTCTCTGAGGTAAGTTACCTACCTCACAGAATTTACCTCGAATCTCTCACAGGCAGAAGTGACAAGTCCCTGTAGATTCCTCACAGGGAATCAATCTTGTGGTTTATAAGGAGCTTATAAAGCAGGGGCAAAGTGCCTTTATCCAGATACCTCACCCTACTGGGTCAGAAGAGAGGAACCCCTCGGGGGATTTGTATTTTGGGTTTCAAGCTCAAGGGTTCTGGGAGTTTAGCAATTGGTTTCGTTAGGAATAATACTCCTGGCAGCACCAAGTACCTGTGACCTGCCAGGAGTGGGGCTCCCAGCACTCTCTGTGTGGGTTCTCTCAGTTAATCCGCACAGCAACCCCACGAGGCAGGGATGGGAAAACACATGCAGGACGTGAGTGGCTTGGCTAAAATTCACACAGCTGCAAAGAGCAGAGCCCCTACCTGGCAGGCTGCAATGACTAAATTTCCTCCATGCTGCTCCAGAAATTGCCAGATGGATCCAAGAGCCTGAGCAATTTCCTGAGGTCACAGAGGTTTGAGTCGGCCCATCCCTCACTATGACAATGCCTCGCCCCACAACAAGGGGGCTCCAAGTACCAGTTTCTGGAGTGGGGAGCCTCAGGGTGGGGCAAACTCAGGAGCCAGGAAACTTCAAGAGGTCAGGGAAAGGGGTCCCCAAGGGGCTTGGCAGCACCAGGACACCTTCTCCTGATGTTGGTGGGAAAGCTCTGAGCTTCCCACCATGAAGGATGATGACAGCTGTAAGTGTTGTAGAGGTTCTTTATCCAGTTGAGGAAGTTCCCCTCTGTTCCTAGTTTACTGAGAGTGTTTATCCTCAATGGGTGTTGGCTTCTGTCAGATGCTTTTTCTGCATCTACTGATATGATCATGTGATTTTTCTTCTTTAGGTCACGGATGACATCACTTGATTTTCGAATGTTGAACCAGCCTGGGATAAATCCCAGTTGGTCATGGTGTATAATTCTTTTTATACATTGTTGGATCTGACTTGCTAATATTTTGTTGAGGATTTATGCATCTTTGTTCATGAGAGGTACTGGTCTGCAGTTTTCCTTTCTCATAATGTCTGTGTCTGGCTTTGGTATTAGGGTAACTGGGACACCTTTTCCCAAGACACAGTAATGACCGAGAAATCCAGCAGCATGCCACTGGCAGGCCCTAGCAGTGGGCATCTCATTTTCAAAGCCTCACCCTAGTCCTGCAAAATAGGAATTATCACCCCCACCCCGTGGCCATTTTACGGCTGTGGGAACTGTGGCTTGGGAGGGTGACGGGACTTAGCCAACATTATGTAGCATGGCAGGACTGAAACCAGTCCACCTGGGGCATGTCTATTTGTAGAGTCTCCGGCCCCCGAGCTGACTGCCTTGGGGTACAGTGAGGCAATGCGGGAGGGCAGGCAGAGGGCAGTACCTGCAGCTGCTGCAGCTCACTCATGTTGCTCTCGCATTGTGCCAGCATGTCCCGCATCTGGTTCTCATGTTTCTGTTGCTGCTGCAGCCGCTCCGACTTCTGCCTCTTCTCCTCCTGCTGGGCGAACTGCAACAGAGAGAGGGTGGGTGTCTCGGGGGCCACAGGCCTGGCTGGTGGCCCTACCTTAGCCCTGTCCCAGGGAGGTCCCGCCAGAGGGACTGGTTTGTGCACAGCCCCAGTGCCCCGCACCAGTCAGGCTGTACCCTCCTGTTTTAAGTCCTCCCCCTGAGCTGAGACCCAGCCACTGCCGTGGAGGAGACCCCAGGCTGATGGGGACACGACACAGTGCTGTGACATGTGCTAGGGCAGCATGTGTACCACACAGGAGTCACAGGAGCCCAGGGCCACCAACTCCATGTTCCCAAGCCACACGGGTGACATGCAAGTGGGGTCCTGGTGGATGAGAGAAAGGGGTTTACCAGGAGAGGAAGCTGCGGGATAGAGGCAGCGGAGCGTGAAAGGGAACGGTGCGAGAAAGCAACGCCGAGCTTCCTCCTCTGTCCACCAGGGGAGCCATTGTGAGGCTTAGGAGGTTCCGGGCTGTGACTTGTGATCGGCACGCCTCCTTCTAAGACCCCGCGCTGCGTCTCAAATTTTATATTCCCCCAACCGTAGAAGATTCAGACCCCTCCAGTACAGCCACAGACCCCGCACCTGCTTGATCTTCTCGCGCTGCTCAGCGGGGCTGCCGGCGCCGTTGATGTGGAGGCTCTTCTTGTACATGGCCATGCGCGTCTTGCCCTCGCTCCTCTGAATCTTGGGCAGCCGCGCCTTCTCCTGCTGCTGCCGCACCTTCAGCTGCTCCACCATGCGCTGGTTGTAGCGCTGCATCTGCTCCCGCTCCTGAGGGACAGCCAGCGGGCCGCGGTCAGCTGCGCTCCGGGCCCGGGGGTGTGCTCGGCGGCCAGAGGCTCCCACACGCAACTCGGGGCCCAGAATGCTCAGCAGAGCAAGGCTGGTATCATTTTACTTCTACTGTTAACAGTTTTTGTCCTCACTTGAAAAGTTACTGTTAGTAAGTTTTGGATTCTTACCTTCTAAATGCCTTCTCATCTACTCAATGGCGGCATGCCATCACAAGCTGATATCTCAAAGCACAATGTACATCATTATTGACGGCAGATGTCAACTCATATTTTAAAAAGTCTTAATAAATTTGAACTTTTTCCTTCACCTAACACCTATTTGTATTTCAAAACTCGGCACAGGCATCAACTCCTCCAAGAAGCCTCCCCTGAGAAGGCTCCTCCCCCTCATTCAGAGCCACCACAGCCCCGTGCTGACTTCCATCCTTGCGCTTAGATGAGGATTGTAATTACCCACACCAGCTGTGCATCCAGACCTCGGTTTACCTGTCTCCGTCCCCACTAAGGGGACTGAACCAAGGCAATTACACAGAAACAGAGGGGGCTCTGGCCACACAGAGCAGGGGCCCTCGCCTGGGGAGGTCAGGGAAGGCTTCCTGGCAGGGTGGTGTTTAAGTTGAGATCTAAAAGTATTCTGAGGGCCGGCCCGTGGTTTAGCAGTTAAGTGCGCGCCCTCCGCTGCTGGCGGCCCAGGATGGGATCCGGGCGCGCACCGACGCACTGCTTCTCCGGCCATGCTGAGGCCACGTCCCACGTACAGCAACTAGAGGGATGTGCAGCTGTGACACACAACTATCTACTGGGGCTTTGGGGGGAAAATAAATAAATAAAATTATTAAAACAATAAAAGTATTCTGAGGGAATGCATAGGAAAAAGAGAAATAAAGAGAAAATGGAAAGAAAATGGACAAAAAAATTAAGAGGGAAAAGAGAAGTGAGCGAGACACACATCAGGAGTCAGTGAGGGAGCCGCTCGGGCCATCTGCTTCACTAGATGGTTTCCCCCACTCCTGGCCCCTCGTCCAAGGCAGTATATCCCCCTGAGAATCCCTTGGGGCCTCCCCACGGGCAGCCTGGCTCCTCTCAGAAACACACATGGTGCCAGTGGCACCCCACACTGTCTCCCAGGTCCCCGGGAGCAGCCCCACGCCCCGCCCAGCCGGGAGCCTCACCTTCTCGTGCTTGCGCACCAGCTCGTGCCGCTGGAGGAAGTACTGGTCTTTGAGCTGCTGCTTCACCAGCTGGTGCCGCTCCTGCAGGTGATGCTCCTCCATCTCCCACAGGGCCGCCTCCCGGTCTGCGGGGGACACGCCGCCCCCTGAGGTGCTGATGGCCTGAGCCCCGCCGCACCCTCCTCCCCCGTGCCAGGCCTCCTCACGCTGTAGCTGATAACCGTGCCCCCTCATCAGACTCTGCTGGCTGAGCTGACTGAGCCAACATCTAGAAAATTCCTGAACACCTAAGGGATGAGGGCTCCCGGCAGCGTGGTACAGCAGGAAGTGTTCCAAGCCAGGAGCCAGAGAAACCAGAGACCTAGGCTGGATCCCAGCTCCATCCCTGGGACTTCGGATGGGTAACAAATCCTCTCCAGGCCTCAGCTTGCTCCTCTACCAGAGAGGCACAACCATACCATAGAGGGACACGTCCTTGTGAGACATTTTTATATGCAATCTACACGGCACCTCTGCTGTCCTACTGGGCAAATGGGAAGGGCTCATGTACAAACCCCAAGAAGAAGACAGGATGGCCTCTTGTCATTATTTCCTCTTTTGAAAAAATGGCTGAGACCCTCCTTGTCCCCTGCATGTCCCACATATGCATTATCGAGACTACAGCATCTGGCATTTTATCACTGAAGTCTATTAATCGACCTTCGTGCTCAGCAACAGGGCAGGGAGCTGATGTCAGATGGAGAAACTCATGCCCTGCCAGGTACAGAGCAGGCCATGCTCGGCCCACTACGAGGGTTCCGTTTATTTCCCCGCATTCCTGTTCTCTGGAAACCAGTGTCTGACCATGGTACATCGGAATGTGATCTGGCTTCCAAACCAAAATCAGAACCACCGTCCCACAAGTAAGATGTTTCTTATGGACATCACGGGACAAAAAAAGGAAATGAGGGCTTTCCTGAAACATCCGTGGCTCTATTCAGAATGTCGGGACATCCAGGACCCCACTTTGCTGTCCACACCAAGTGCTGAGGGGTTTGCACGGCTTAACGGCACTGGGCATCAAGCCCGGCTGCGGCACCTGGTACGTAAGTGAGCCAGAGACAGCGCGGGTGTATCAGCCCTGTGCTGTTTATTTCTTCCCGGCAGGCCGGACCGTTAGTTCAAAAGCCCACAGGCGCCAAAGTCGAGTTTTCACTCATCCAATTGTTTTAAATGTAGCTCAAATGACAGATTTTTAGCCACTAGAACCTGCTTGCTTTGCATACTTCACAAAACTGCACCCAACATCTGCTAGCCATGGATAAGTCCCAGAGCCACAAAAGACCCCAAGCCCCGCTGCCCTTGAGAGCTCTCCACCCCAGACACTCCCCATGCGAGCAACATCATCCAACACGTAAACCACCCCCCTCTGATCCCCTTCTCCTCCTCCCTCCTCCTCCCTCTGGGTGGTGGCCCAACTGCTGTCTCTGGAAGGTGTCATGCTGTGAGGGATTAGCCAGCATGCAAACCTGTCAAGACACCACCGCACCAGGGTAGCTAAGAGCTCGGCTTCAAGGGGAGATCCACGTTCAAGGCCCACTCTACCACTCAGGAACTGTGCAACCTCGGACAAAGAATAGTCACTCTCCAAGCCTCAGATTCCTCATCTATAAAAATGAGAAGCCTTGCAGGATTAAGGTGAGGATTCAATGAGATGAAGGTATAAAAACTGACTGGCACCCAGCCTGGCAGAGCAGTTGCTTGGTATGTGATGACTGTTGTGAGGGGCTCTCCATGGTCCCCAACTCTCACCACCCCATTAACCCAGGTCACTTATTTATAATTTCTACCCACTCTACATGGCTTTTTTTTTTTTTTCCCTTGACATCTGGAATAATGTCAAGTAGTTGGTAATAACTGGTATCTTTGCCTTGGTCCTGACTTCAGTGGGAGTTTTCCCTGTGTCTCCCCACGGAGGATGTTTGGTTTTAGGGTGGAGAAGACCTAGCAGTTCTTTCTTGCCCAAGGCTAGGATGTCCATTCGGAGATTCTGGGCCAACACGGCGCCACCCGTTCCCGGGCACCCACCTCGAAGGAGCTCCTGCTTCTTCGTGAGGCACTCGCGCTCCTTGTCGCAGATCTCCCGCCTGTTGTCAGCCGTGATCTTCTTCATCGCCAGCTCCAGGTCCTCCTTCTGCTTGGCCAGGAAGTCCCTGTCCTGTGGGGGAGAGGAGGACTGACCTTTACCCAGCACTGGCTTTGGCGTTTCAACATTTATTTTTATCACAGAAGAAAAGTCATCATGATCAGTAAAGAAAATTTGGAAAAGAAAATATATGGAGGGGCCGGCCAGGTGGCGCAAGGGGTTAAGCGTGCGTGCTCCGCTGCGGCGGCCCGGGGTTCGCCGGTTCAGATCCCGGGCGCGCACCGACGCACTGCTTGTCAGGCCATGCTATGGCGGCGTCCCATATAAAGTGGAGGAAGATGGGCATGGATGTTAGCCCAGGGCCAGTCTTCCTCAGCAAAAAGAGGAGGATTGGCAGATGTTAGCTC